TTTTTGATAAAAAAGACCAGCTAGGCCATGGCGGCAGGCGGCGGGACCTGCCGCCACAACACCAGGCGGCAGCCCTGAAATTACTGAAATCCGGCGAGGCCTGCTGCTGGAACGGAACAGCCTGTGGTTGATGGGCCTCGCCGCTACACACCGTGGCGGCAGGTCTGCAGCAGCAGCAGCCAGCTCTCTCGTTTTATTCTTTGTTCTTCATGTGTTGTTAGCTAGTGTGAAATAGGCACGTTTGACTGAGATTTGAATCAATTTAAAGGTCGATTTTGAAGATGATGTAGTTGAAGAAAAAATAGATCAAGGTAAGATGTATCCATTTTTGTGTTTTTCCCTCACATGCACCATGGTTTCGTACTGTATGATTAGTCGTAACTTTATATTCTCTGCTGTATTAGGCATGTGATAATAAGTTTGGGGAGTGTTTTGTAGCATTTGGAAAGTACAAGCCACCATGCATGTAAGCGAAACGCATAAAAATGGATAGATTTCATCTGGATCTATCTTTTCTTCAACTGCAACATCTTCAAAATCGGTCTTCAAATTGATTTAAATTTCAGTCAAACTCGCATATTTTCACACTTGCTAAACCAAGTAAAACAGAGAGCCTTTGTCAAAAAAAAAAGAGTAAAACAGAGAGTGGAATGACACAACATTGTGTGGCGGCAGGGCCCACCAGCCCATCCAATTCCGTTGCAGCAGCTGGTCTCGCCGGTTTTTCTCAAAAAAAAAAGCTGGTCTCGCTGGTAATTCCAGGGCTGCCGCCTGCTATAGTGGCGGCAGGTCCCGCTGCCTCACCCAGTGGCGGCACATGGCACGTGTCGGCGCGCCTGCCGCCACGGCCTAGCTTGTCTCTTTTGTCAAAAAAAATTTAAAGATAGTCTTTTTTGTCAATTTGACTCGACAGATGGTCCTTTTGAACAAAAAATCCAATTTCGTGAGGATAAGAGTCTTGCTACACACACGAGTTTGAGTAACACGATAAACTACTAGTGACACCGACATGTCGTGTGGGCCCTGCTAAAAGAGGGAATGAATGCATAACATAACACGACACGAGTTTGAGTAAATGGCGTACGTATATCATACACTAGTAGTTTATAGGTTGGCAGCCCACGTTCGTTCGATCAATTTAGAAAAAATGTATAGACAAGTAGGGCTGTCAGAGGCATCTTCCACAGTGGTGCAATGGCATGTGCTGTACACATCGTATAGTACTCACTAGCAGTATAGTAGCACAGTGTAGTGGAGTATTATACACTGTCTGTGTCCCTGCCATGCACGTGGATTTTTTCGGTCTCGCCATGCATTATTATTACTCCGGCCCGGCCGGCAAAAAAGAGTGAACAAAACTGTACTACGTAGGGATCGATCTGCTCTGCCCATCATCACTGGTTCAATGGGTAACAGTGGGAGCTTGAGAATAATCCGTTTTCCAAGAGTATTTTGGTACGACGATGGATGATGGGTATGTCTGTCAGCACTGTCCACGGAGCCTGCCCATGGAGCAGATCAAATCGAACGGAGTATATTTACTGACCATGATCTGATTGATTCTGATGAATGAATGGTTTGAAGGTGTTCGTGGTGGGGCACGACTGGGGCGCCATCATCGCCTGGTACCTCTGCCTCTTCCGCCCGGACCGGGTGACGGCGCTCGTCAACACCAGCGTCGCCTTCATGCGCCACGTCTTCATCCGCGCCGGCGCCGCCGCCGTCAAGACCACCGACTACTTCAACCAAGCCTACGGCCCGACCTACTACATCTGCCGCTTCCAGGTCTCCTGTTCATCTCCTCACCTGCTCATACGTGCTCTGTCTACTCTACTCTGCACCATGCATGCAGTAGGTTCCGATCGACTGAGAATCAACCAACGGCGACGTGGTGCAGGAGCCGGGGGTGGCGGAGAAGGAGTTCGCGCCGGCGCACGCGAGGCACCTGATGACGCGGATCCTGAGCGACCGCTTCAGCGAGCGCGCGGCGGGCAAGGAGCCCAAGGACGGCGGCGACGACGACGCCGAGGCGCTCCCGCCGTGGCTCACGGAGGCGGACATCGACTACTTCGCCGCGGCGTTCGAGAAGACGGGCTTCACGGGCGCCATCAACTACTACCGCAACATGGACCGGAACTGGGAGCTGGCGGCGCCGTGGGCGGACGCCAAGGTGGCGGTGCCGACCAAGTTCATCGTGGGGGACGGCGACCTGACGTACCACTACGCCGGGATACAGGACTACCTGCACAAGGGCGGGCTCAAGGCGGACGTGCCGCTGCTGGAGGAGCTGGTCGTCGTCCCCGGCGCCGGCCACTTCATCCAGCAGGAGCGGGCGCAGGAGGTCAGCGACCACATCCACGATTTCATCGCCAAGTTCTGAAGAAATGCTGAAAAAGAAAACACATCCGTGCATCACGTTTCAGTAGACCAGTGGATCGTTGGTCCTGTGTTGTCGGTTTGATCATCGGTCGTTTCGTACTTTCATTGCTTGTTCGTTGGCCTGTCGATTCATCTCATCAGTTACCGTGGATAATAATTGCTCTGCTCGATCGACGGAGCTGTGTCTGTGCATGCCCATGGCCATGCGTATGCATGGTCACGTCAGAATTCCTTTTCTCTTTCTAATAAAAGGGCAAACGCCGTATATTAAGCTCGGCAGTGCAAATAAAAACACCTTACAGAAGTTGAAAGAAGTACATATTTTTTAGGGTGCCGGAGTCTCCTTCCTCATGTTTCTGAGCCTCTGTCTTGGGGAAGTGAACTTGTTGAAACTAAGAAACTTGTAGAAGCAGCGACCAAAAAGTCGTTGATGTACACCATCTGCATTAGCGGATCGCTGTCCTAGAGAAAACCTGTATAGTACCCCATATCCGGCGGCCAGACGGATTCGAGGAATACAACTCTCACATGCACCCCGATGAAGCTGAATGTGGCCAGCCATCGTTGGTCGAAACCGGAGCCGGTAAACCAAGACGCAAAAATGCTTAAACTACAGGCCCTTCCTGTAATTCTCTCTACCACCCCCCTCTGATTTTAACCCCCCATAATCCAATGACAACTTGCCAAGTCAAAATTGCTCCCAAAATCCCAGTAAGCTTTGGTGGGTGTAGCGTTACTCACCAAGATGCATAGCCACGCCATCCACTCTGTAGGACAACGCTAACGAACCAAACTTGTAGAAGAAAACCGCTCTCAGAGAACCATATCTGAGGACGCACCATCCTCCACACGCTTCTCAAGCAAGTTGTTAGTCGGATGTGCAGGAGTGAAATCCTAGCCGCTGCAATAGCTTCCCTACACACTGCCACCTCGGCCCCCACCCTCTTCCTTGTTTGGCGGCCTTGTCAACGATAAGAGGAGTAGGGATTTGTCCATCTTTTTTAGGTTCTTGTTTCCGTGACGACACCGACGAGGTGCCGGCGGCAATTACGTGTTGGAATAAGATTTTTTTGGTCTCTCTCTACCTTGTCGAAGTCCTCACCGGCACCGACAAATGAATTGCGAGAGTTTGTGTCCCCCAATCTGTTAATTTGCTTTCAGATATTGGCAGTTTTATGTGTCTTTTAATGAGAGCTATTGACTGACTATTGGTTTTGACATCTTCTCCCGTGTTGTTCTATGGGGTCCGATGTCTCGAAGCCTCTAAAATTAGTGATGATGGATTACAAGCCTGTACTGCATGGGGTGATGTTGTCCATTATTTTAACTTTATTAGTTTTCTTTGTAAAACTATAAATTATTGGCCACCGATTTCGAGTGTTTTACTTCGTCACTGACAGGTGCTCAGGTTGTTTGTTTCTACAAAACTATGAACCCCAACAGCCAACGAACGTTTCCTGGGGGAGGATGCCATTTGTGAACTGTTTTGATGATAGTTTGTGTTGGCCGAGCATGACAATTTTAGTTAGCGAGTACGGCAACTCCACTGCAATCCTGTATTTCACCATCAGATTGCTCGTGCTTGCAGAAAATTGTCATATTTGCCACCCTTGCAACAACTAAAATTGTCAAACTGAATGTTGACGGGGCTGTAGCAAAATCATCAAATACAGGTGCGGTTGGAGTTGTATGCCGGAGTGAGACTGGTCTTTTCATCGGAGCATCCGTGGAAGTTTTTCATGGAATAATGGAACCAACAACATTGGAGGCATACATGCAGGGAGGCCCTCGCACTAGCTGAGGACTTGGTCGTTCATACAATGCGAATTGCATTAGACTGTCTAAGAGTCATAAACGACCTTAAGAACCCGGGCTATCTGGGTGAGTATTGCATGATCTTAGAGGAGATCAATGAGAAAAAGCAGAAGTTTCAGAGTTATGAGCTCGTCCACAAACAACGCGCAAGCAATGATGAGGCACATGGTTAGCTAGAATGGCCACTATCCTAGATATTGGCCGACATGTATGGCTCATCGATCCTCCGGATCATCTTTGTATCCCCTAAACTTGAGCACATGAAATAAAGCGCGTTGTTCTTCTAAAAACACTAAAATTGCTATTAAAACATTTGTCATTGCCATTATTATTATTTTTTAAAGCTACTCCCTCTGTCCGGGTTTATTAGGCCTCTCAGCATCACAAGCATGTCCTTTTTTATAAGGCCTTGCTTTGGAAAGGTGCATGCATGCAACCATTTCATTGGTTGTATTGAAAGCCATTGTTGTTGGTGCCATGACTGGGAAATTAATACACTTCATGCATATTTTTTTATTGGCTGCATGCATGTGAAAGAGTGCATTGAGAGTGGAATGAAAGAATTAATGTGAGCAATTTACTACGTGTCTTGGTCTAAGAGAAGTTGTGTTTAGGCCTGATAAACCCGGACGGAGAGAGTATACCGTGAAGACCCGTCGACACGTCTGAGTCAAAAGGCAGCAACGCCCAAGTCCCATTTCCCCACCCGGCACAATCTCACCCGAGCTCAGCTCAGCATCCCAAAGCGGCACTGCACGACACAACCGTCGATTCGAAGCGACAGAGTCCAGCCGGTTCGTCCGACCATGGCGGCGGCGGCGGCGGCGCCGGAGATCAGGCACCGGCAGGTGGAGGCGAACGGCATCACGATGCACGTCGCGGAGGCCGGCCCGGCCTCCGCCGCGGCGCCCGCGGTGCTCTTCGTGCACGGCTTCCCGGAGCTCTGGTACTCGTGGCGCCACCAGATGGGGCACCTGGCGGCCCGGGGCTACCGCTGCGTCGCCCCCGACCTCCGCGGCTACGGGGGAACCTCCGCGCCGCCCGACCCCGCCTCCTACACCGCCTTCCACGTCGTCGGGGACCTCGTCGCGCTCCTCGACGCCCTCCGTCTCCGCCAGGTAACCGACCCCCCCGCCAGATCCCCGAGCCGCTAGATCGGCCTGCGGCGGCTGATTGACTGACTGACTGGCGTGCCGGCGGTGAAGGTGTTCGTGGTGGGGCACGACTGGGGCGCCATCGTGTCGTGGAACCTCTGCCTGCTGCGGCCGGACCGGGTGCGCGCGCTCGTCAACCTCAGCGTCGCCTTCATGCCCCGCCACCCCTCCGCAAAGCCCCTCGACTACTTCCGCCGCGCCTACGGGGACGACTACTACGTCTGCAAATTCCAGGTGCGGGATTGCTTCCTGTCCAATGTTCGGCCGCTGTCTTATGAGCAATCCGGGGACAAGAGCTAGGAAACCTGCTGCAAATGCCTAAATCGGGGCATGGTGATTTGAGATTTCTATAGTTGCTATGTAGTATGGTTCTTTTTGTTAGGATGATCTCCACCGTGTGGGCCCACCGGGCCCTTAGATCCGCGCCCTGATCGGAGGCGCTCAACCCACTATGGGTGACGGGCCCCTGTCACCTGCACTATAAAAAGAGGTGGGGGCCGGCGGCTCGCATCACGAGGTTCGTCGCAGCGCTGTACACCCCACCTAATCCCCTACCGATCTAGGGTTAGTGCAGTGCTGATGGGAAGCACCGCCACCACCACTCTCTGCCATCACGCCGGCACTGGCGCCATAGCCGGCAACCGGAGCTCCTCGAGCCACAAGGAAAGGTAATACCTATCACTGTTGCCGGAATCCTAGCCGAACCGATCCACAAAGTCTATCACTTTTGTTATCCATTTCAGGTGTGGGAGGGCATTGGCTCACCGTAATTTCACAAATTCAGATAAGAAATGGCTGATTGGGCATATGGTTGCTTGTTCAAAGAGGAGAAAACAGACGATATTGAAGTCTAGCTTAGTACTGGCCGTTGTGTTAACTTTTCATGTCAATTGATCTTCCAGGGGTCTAGTTTAGTTTGTGCCTACAAAATTGTCCTTCCTTACCTGCTATATATAGCAGTTTCCTGCCTTGAGATGGCTTCTCTGTTTTTGCGCAAATTGCAGTTTATCACTTGCAATTAAGGAGTTACTAACATAAATGTATTGGCATGGAGCACCCAACATATTGTATATACAATGACAACAGGTGAGGAATTTATTGATAATTCGAACCTCAATGTAGACTAGTTGCATTTCTGCGCCGTCATTTTAACTTGCCTCTTTTCAAGTCCACACTTTACAATCCAAGTTTCAGGCAACAGATTTCTAGGACCTGCCTTTATATAAGTTATTGCATTGGTTGACAGGAACCTGGATATGAGGCACAATTCGCTAGTCTTGACTTGAAGAGGTTCTTCAAAATGGCGATAACTGTTCAAACCACAGGTTCTTCTGCTATGTCCCTCCAAAAAATGCAGTCAAGCAACAAGCAAATAACACTGCCTTCTTGGCTCTCCGAGGAGGATGTCAGTTACCTAGCAAGTGTATATGCAAAAACTGGCTTTGCTGGTGGCCTTAATTACTACCGCTGTCTAGACCTGTAAGTCTTCTCGTTTTAGCAAGAAATCAGATGATCACCTGCACAATTCATACACATTACATTATCCTACACAGTACTGTGCATAGTGAACTTCTAAACCATCTATTTCTAGATGGATTGTGTTTCCGCAAGTCAATGATAGTCTACTAGATAGATGCAGCATATAACATCAGATTGTAATGTACTGATAAAATGAAACTAATGGCAAAAACTTTTTGTGTGTTCCAAGATCTGGAATAGGATTACATGACTAAGAGCATATACCAATTCGTTTATGTTTGCCTTTTAAGTAGATACCATGTTCGAGTGCCAGTATATCTTTATGATTATTATCATTCTCCTCATCATTTACTCCTGTACCAAGCATAAGCACTCAAAACCTCCATGGAATGCAATTGGCGATATACCATAATAATGATCTCACTTTTAGTCAAGGCCAGGAACAATCTGCCATGATTCATAAACCCTCCCCAGAATGATGTGCTGTGTAGACTATGTATACTACTAGTAGATTACAAATTCTAGATATATCGGTGGCACTGGCCATGCTCACAAGTCACGGCCATACATTTGCAATACATAGAGGATTGCATCATCTATCCACAATGCACCTTACATGCACCAGGAAATTGTGACCTCTGAAGATGCATATGCACAGGAACTGGGAGCTGATGGCGCCATGGACCGGAGCGAAAGTGCAAGTGCCGACCAAGTTCATCGTCGGGGACGGTGACCTGGCATACCATCACCCAGGAGTCAAAGGCTACATACACAAGGGTGGGCTCAAGAGAGACGTGCCCATGCTCGACGAGGTGGTGGTGATCAAAGATGCCGGACACTTCATCCAGCAGGAGAGAGCACAGGAGATCAGCGAACACATCTATGAATACATCAAGAAGTTCAGCACAGACCCCACACATAAATTATCAAAATTGTGAGGTCACTCGTTGATGTACAAAATTAATAAAAATACCTGTATTTGAGTATGCGGCCGTGAGATAGTTGTACAACTTCAAAGCCTGTTGGTTCATGCACTGAAATGAGGTACTTGTATGCACTGGCGGAGCTTAGTGCAAGCAAAACTGGGCTGTGGCCCGCCCAGTTTTGCTGCAAACCAATGGGCCTTTAGGCAGAAATGGGCCGTGGAGGTAAAAAACGTTGGGCTTTCTTCAAGCTGGCCCGCCCAGTCATTTTGATGTAGCTCTGCTACTACTTGTATGCAACTTGTACAACTTCAAAGCCTGTTCGTTCAAGCACTGAAAATCTCACGTGGATAACATGAGCCGTGGTTGTACGCCTGTAGATATGTTCTTTGATTAAGAGTAAAGAATTCACAACTTTCTTCACCAGTGGTACAGTTTCATCGTAGCTGGGGGAAAACGACGATTATTCAACATAAACTGATGTGTTTTTCAGCCACATGTTGCAGAAAAGAGGGATATTACAGCTTTATCTGACAGAAACACAAGATACATGTACCAACAAATTTGTGGAAGTAATAGTGTGCTAGGGCATCAGACCATAAATATTTCCAGCTTACAAGAATAGTACACATAATAGGAGACTCCACAATTGTGCGCGGAATTGCACTTGCGGACAATCGTGAGGACTGGGCTCTTGTTTCACTTGCGGACAACACAAGTCGACAGGCAGATCAAATCCAACGATACATTCTGCGGAAAGTGCAGATTGTTCATTGTTATTCTCTGATGAACAGATTATAGCAATATACAGAGTCCATGCAGTGCCAAGTACTCCCTCCGTTCCTAAATAGTAGTATAAGTCTTTTCAGAGATTTCAAATGGACTACAATATACGGAAGTATATAGACATATTTTAGAGTGTAGATTCATTCATTTTGCTCCGTATGTAGTCCCTTGTTGGAATCTCTAAAAAGACTTATATTTGGGAACGGAGGGAGTAATAAAGGAGAAAGCTCCAAGTAGGTATTCATACCAGACCACAGTTTCTTGCTTGCTACATCAGGGAGAAAATGTCCGACTGCGCCTCTGAACATCAAACTCGGCCTCGATGAGACCAGTTATACCAGCTTTGATCTTCTGCCCTATTCGGACAGGGCCTACACCCTCAGGAGTTCCTGCATGCAGAGGACCCCCATCAATAACCCACAACACATATCCTCCGATGCACTAAAACAGTTGTATAGAAAGGATATGTCATTACCGGTTAATATCACATCACCCTCCATCAACGTCATGATCGAACTGATATAACTGATTAGAAAAGGAACCTTGAATATCATATCACTTGTAGGCCCTTTCTGCCTAAGTTCATCGTCCACCTGAATATGGTTGCCCAATTCTCATTAAGAGGATGTCTAAGTTTCAATTACTTTATCTCGCAATAAGTATATTCATTGTGTATTTGTATAATTACCTTTAGCCAGAGTTCTAGATCATCAGGATTAGGGACAGCTGATTTTGGGACCTATTAAATGCACAAATCATCATTGACAAAAAATACAAAAGTGAGAGCATATATTGTCATAATAATGGAATCCCTATGTCGTCTGAAGTCACAACAACAAGATTCTAGCCCTTTTCGTGTTATTTACTTATTCCCTAGTAATCCTGATTTATTTATGTCTTCTGAATGATCAGAAACAAGATCAGTACATCTTCCATAGGCTTTCACTTAGTGTTCAAAATCGGTTTGGAGTGATCACAGGAAAAGTGGCAGGAAGTAGGCTAGTGCAACTTCTTCTGTTTCTTACAAACTGCGTGACTTAAGCTAGTATGAAGAAAAATGAACTATAATTTCCACAGTTGATCTCAAACCGTTTTTAAGCTCCCTTAGTTTCATTCTAACTTTAATAAGATGTTTATTTGTGTTTCTCATACACAAATATTTACAAATGGGACGAAAAAGTAACAGCTCACAAGCTGACTAGTACACCAGTCTTTGGAGGAAGAGAAACATTGGCTTACCACTGCACTAATTGGAGTAAAGGTATCCTGTGCTTTAGCCAAAGTCCAAGGAAGACCTGCAGACTAAGAGTTCATTGATTAAGCAATGCCAAAACATTTGACATAGAAAATATCTTACACTAACAGACAATGGGTTATATTGTTTGTCCTTCTTTCTTTCGTTACTCTTTATGCGATGAAGGGGACTGTGGGTTAATTACAAGGTCATGTTGGTCAATTATTTACTACAGTTTAGCAAAAAATATACCCAAACCATTATGTCAGATTTGCTAGGTGGAAGAAGATAGAAAGATGTAACACAAACAACTAGCGCCAACATAAAATATGGTTTGTGCTCTATGAATTGGTACACAAGATGCAACTTCTGAGACTACAATGCCAAGTTTTTTTGCTGGTTTTACTTGCACAAAGCTGAGCTGATCAGTCAAAAGAAGAAATTCCTAAGACAACAGCGTGCAACTTTATTTTTTTGCTGAATTTCTTTCGTAAGTTCGAGTTTGAATGCTCTTTCTATCTTTTGAGTTTCAACTGCCACCAGGAAATAGCAGATGGCACGAACCAACAATAAACAGCAGCTAGAATAACACCAAAGGAAACTACAAGTGTTAGTGCACACCTTAGCTACAGACTGAAGGTCCCTTGCTGTCATGTCCAAAGCAAGAGCATAACCTGAAAAATGGATATGGAAGCAATTATGTCAAATTTATCATATCACTAGTGAAAAACCTAAATTTATCGCCTCAAACATTTCATGCTCTCTACATTGACAAGAAACACATGGATAGAGTGACCCCAACCTGCTCATTTTTCAGATGGAAAGAGGAGAAACTCACTCAGGACTACACCAAACAAGACTATCCATGAGTATTTGAGTATTTGTATTTCAGAAAGAGAATACATCCAGGACATGAAAATGCGATTAGATCAGGAAATTAATGTGCTAATAAGTTATTGTCATCTGCCTGACCATGGCAATCGGCAAAATAGGCATTGCATAAGCATGTTGACCAAGCAAAACAGATTTCCTATTCCAAACTCCACATTTGCATTTCCAACCGAGCTTATCGAATACGAAGAATTAGTACGGAGTAATTATCTGGAATTCCTAAGTCATTGCCTCACTCTGCTTACTTAATTTACCAAACTGATGCTATTGTCGAACTGAAGCTCCAACATACATTTGCAGCATGGAGAATATCCTAACTAATTTTCAATCAAACAAAATGATATCAATTGCCACCAAATTCTGCAATTACAGCATCAGGGTGAATTCTGTCGACCAACAAGGGAATGCAGAACGGACATCTGATCAGTATCAGAGTGAATTGTCCCTGACCTACTGCCCTGTCTGATAATTTCCTCAGATCAATTGTCGAGTGAAACACGGTTGTTAAGAATGGCAGGTAATCGCGTAGGGGGAGGCAGAGGCGGGGCACCCGGTAACTGCAGCCCCTGGTTACCTCCGACGAAGTCCATGGCGGAGGCCTCGGGCACGTCGCGCGCGCGCCGTGAGATGACGACGGCGAGCTCGACCTCGTGGTGCAGCGACTCGAGCGGCTCGGGCACCTCGACGGCGGTGGTGGCCACGCCCGCGTGGAGGAACGACGAGGTCGGCTTGAGGAACAGCACCGGCTCCTGCAACGAGAGCCGCGACGCGCACGCCGCATCAGAGACCGCGCGGGAAGAAGAAGAAGAAGAAGAGGAGGAGGGGGGTCGGTCAGGAAGGGGGGCGTGGACCTTGGGGACGGGGTGGCCGAGCTCCTTGGCGTGGGCGACGTAGTTCCGCCCGACCCCGACGATCTTCGTGCTCGCCGCGAGGAGCCTCTGCGCCGCCGCCGCCATGGCCGGAAGAGCTGCGACTTGGGAGCTGGGGATGGGGCACGACCTCGACTGGAGGTGGTAGACGACCCGAAGCAAAGGACTGCTCAGCGGAAGGCTCCGTGACAAACGAGACGAATGGGTCCAGATTAGACAGAGGAGGCCCATACGAGGGGAGCTCCTGGGCCTCGGCCCTTCTACATACATCTCAAAACGACGAAACCACTAATTAAGGGCCGTGACAAACGAGACGAAGGGTCCAGATGTCAGGTTAAGCGGTGAGGTGGTGCCGATGGGAGCAAGGAAAAGGTTGGTAAGCCAAGATGGGACAATCAATGTTCATGGACATCCTAGTGTGCCTATACAGCCGGATACCGTGGCAGGGAAAGTATTGCAGATCGAGGCTGCTCCTTCAACACATGTTGCTGCTACTTGTACACCGGGTAAGAACCCAATTGTCAAGAGAAGGCGCCAGGGGGAAGGAGAAGACGAAGATGTAGAGGACCCAATGAATGAGGCGGCATCCCAGATGGATGGCCGCCAAGCCCAATGAGAACCTTGTGCTGGAACTGCCGCGGGATTGGCGACCCTGTGACAGTCCGTGAGCTCCGGGAGCTCATTCAGGAGTGTGCACCGTCGGTGGTTTGCATTGTGGAAACGCAATTGTTAAAACAGCGTGTGGAAGGTTTGACGTCTATGTTGGGCTTTGAGGGTGGTTTTGCGGTAGCCAGCAGTGGAAGAAGCGGAGGGTTGGCTGTGTTTTGGAGACATGGTTTGAATTTCAGAGTTAAGAACTTCTCCCGGTACCACATTGATGCATGGGTGGCTGAACCGGGGAAGGAGGACTGGAGATTGACTTGCTACTATGGTGAGGCAAATCGATCACTTAGGCAGAACACTTGGAACACCATGACCCGGCTTCGAGGTGAATCCACTCTTTCATGGTTGTGTATTGGGGACTTTAATGAGATTCTTAGAAGAGAAGAGCAGATTGGTCCCAATGAGTGGGATGAAGCCCAAATGGCAGGTTTTCGAGAGGCTGTTGATGTGTGTGGCCTAGCTGACATCGGCTACATAGGTCTTGATTGGATGTTTGAAAAGAAAGTAAGAGGAGGGTAGTACTGTCGTGTTCGGCTGGATAGGGCGCTGGCCTCAACGGAGTGGAGCTCCATGTTCCCGTTTGCCACTCTATGTCACTTACAAGCAGCAAAATCGGATCATTGCCCGATCGTCTTATGTAATGAGTTAGATGCTGTAAACAATCGTATTGCAATAAACAAGCCTTTTCGTTATGAGAAGATGTGGGAGACGCATGATGATTTTTTCCCTATGGTTGACCGGTTTTGGGCAGCTGAGCAGGGCGAGACGCTACATGACCTGAAGACCAAAATGGAGCGTTTGGCAGGCTCACTGTCGAGTTGGGGCTCTAAAACCTTTGGGCATGTGAGGGCTGAGCTACGACAGCTGAAAAGGCGGCTGACTGATTTGAGATCGGACAGTGCTAGATCTGGGCCATCCTATGAGGAGATCAAAGTTCAGGATAGAATCATGGAGCTCAATTTTCGTGAAGAAATAATGTGGATGCAACGGTCAAGAATTCAGTGGCTAGCGGAGGGGGATAGCAACACTAAATTTTTTCACCTAAAAACTTCTATGCGGAAGAGAAGGAACCACATCTCTCAGCTTCGGCGGGAGAATGGTACTGTATGCAGCGATGAGGAGGAGATTCGTGGTATGGCCAGAGAGTATTATAAAAACTTATATACATCTGAAGGTACTATAGGAATGGAGGAAGTGTTGTCCCACATACCTAGAAAGGTTGATGATGGTATGAATGACATGCTATGTGCTCCATTCAAAGATTCAGAAGTCAAGGAGGCCCTCTTTCAAATGTTTCCGACTAAGGCTCCGGGCTCGGATGGCTTTCCAGCACATTTCTTTCAAAAGAATTGGGGCGTTTGTGGGGAAGAAGTTACCAAGGTAGTTGTCGTGGAATTATCACGGCAGATGTCCTTAGTGTCAGGACTTAGTCGCGAGGCCAACGCATCTATGTGGTAGATTGAAAGGGGTTGAGCGGGACGAGAGACACGATGTTTTACCCAGGTTCGGCCCCTCACGGTGGAGGTAAAAGGCTACATCCTGCTTCATTGATATTGATGATGATGATCATGGTTACAAGAGTGCTCGATCTCGAGAGCTATTGTCTAAACCTAACTTGTCCAACTTGTGGAACTTGTCAATCTTCTCCCCCTTTGGAGAGCCCTGCCCCTCCTTATATATGTTGGAGGGGCGGGTTATATGTAGAGTCCTATTAGGATTAGGACTAGTCTATCTCCAATACAAACCGGATACAAGTCCAGGTCTTAAATCCTTGTAAGATAATATTCCTCCTGCCTTCCTCTTAAACCGGCCCACCATTAGACGTGAACCGGCCTTCTGGGTCTTGGGCCTTGTCATCTGTCTGCCCCGCACGCCGGATTACCAGTGAGTCATAATGACCAGGTGGGTTGCTTGTAAACCGCCAGGTCAGGGCGGGTCGCTGGTGACTCACCAAGTGTCAGCGGGGTCTTCAGATAAACCGCCAAGTCCTGGCCGGGTTAACTTCCGGCCGGTTTACACCGCGGGGTATATCCCCGACATTAGCCCCCAAGTTTAGCTTGGATTTATTCATGGTAAACTTATGCTGCAAAATAAACACAAGAACAAGTTTGACAGGTTATGCTCCAGGTTAAGAATTTTTGTAAACCGGTACCTGATCATCCTTAAGTCCTTGTTATTTCCTCCTTCTGGGAAATCCAGGTCAACAGACCAGCTTCATAATCAATTTGCCGATATTGGCTTGTCACCGAGAAATATTGTGAAGAATAACTCCTTTGACTCAGCTCCGCCGGTTTAAGAAATATGGGTCTGAAAATACTTATCTGATATTCAGCTGGTTTGAAGATGTAAAACTTGCCGGTTTAATATTACCAAAATGGTCGGTTTATAAATATTGATGGCACCGGGTCATAATTGTTGTCAACACCGGGTTATGTAATTGATCTTCCTGATTTGCTCAAAACTGATAAAATGAAGATATTCCTCCTTTATATGCATAATACCCGTAGCCCCCAAGTCTTAAGAGGAGAACATAGTGATAACTTAAGACTTGCTCCAATAAGTGTTTCAACCTTGAAGAAATCCGGTTTGTTCATCTCAAAACTGAATACTCCATATATGTAGCCCCCAAGTGCCGGATTGTCATGCTTGCAGCAACCTGGGACTTGTAATTACTTGATGCTCATAAAAACTTCAACCAGTGTAGCCCCCAAGAGCCGGGTCATTATGCAATAATGAGCAGGGACTTTGTAAGTATAATCTTGTAAACTTTGAACATCAACGTGTGGCCCTCAAGGGCCGGCTTAGTAAGATAATACTGAACCGGGACTTGATATATATACTTTAATGAAAATAACATATTATAATGTAGCTTCCATCATAGGGCTTGAACCCATGTCCACAAGGTTAATAGCTTTGTGCTTTACCAACTGAGCAATGGATTCTTCAATATTATGGACGAAAACTTGTGTACCTTGAATTGTTGACAGGAGCAATTGGTAGCCCCCAAGGGCCGGCTCATTATAATATGATGAGTCGGGTCTTCAATAAAACTAGTAAAAATGACTTTGCATTAGCCCCCAAGTGTCATGGTGCATGCTTGCTGCGACATGAGACTTGCATGTAATCTCAATTTGAATAATGTAGCCCCCAAGTGCCGGGTTGTAAGCCTGCAACGACTCGGGACTATTCCTTCCATTGTAGAATAAATCATATCCTTTGATAAAATAATAGCCATTAAAGCGACTTTGAAAAGTTGATAATACCGGTTATTAATAACCATAAAAATCCAGCCATGTTGACTATTCAAGATAATATAATCCGGTGAAAACCTTTATTCATTCAATATCATAATGAAAATTCAGCCAAGTTTGGCTATTTGAATAATATAACCCAATGATTTATAAGCGCATAATTCCAATGGCGCAATACAAATATATATATACTGGCGACTTATAGTCCAAAGCTAGGCCGGTTTAACAAACCTGTTCCTGCATACAACAAGTTTAAAGTGTCCTGGCGGTTTACCGCCGGACGGGTCATAATGCCCGACATATAACCCGGGTTTATAACCAAGGCTACACTTAAGAATAATCAAATATGAAATATATCATACCTGTGACATTGAATCACATTGTTGGTTTTACCAACTTTTTGTAGGAAAGGTGATAACCCCAATCTTGAGTACTGATAACTCCTTCCATATTGTGCCGGTTTATGATAAAACCATACCGGGTTGTGATAAACACCGTGTTACTCCATAAGAGGATGTTAACAACAAGGATCAAACCGGGCAAATAGTCTCCGGATTGAGGTGAACTGTGTTACGTCAATTGATTGGTTAAAAAACTTTGTCGGTTTAAAAAACGCAATAAAAAGCAAAAACCCCCCTTCAAAGAAAAGTGTAAATCAAGTGCAATGACAAAACGTTGCAAAAAAAAGTTTATTTGAGCTGATCAGATGGTGTTACCATGGTCGAACACGACCAAGCTCCCGTTAGGTGTAACTATGGTTCTAGTCAGGTAGGTCCCCAAATGAAACCGTGGCATTTATGCCGATCAAGTGGCATGGTCATGGTTCGGGTTCGACCAAGCCCCCAAGTGATTCCGTGGCCTTAGGCCGACCAAGAGGCATGACTGGTTCAGACGTGACCAAGTCCCCAAGTGATCTGGTGGCTCTTCGCCTATCAAGAGGTATGGTATTGGTTCGGACACGACCAATCCTCCAAGTGATATGATGCTTTTGTAAAGCTAACTCAAGGGGTAAACCGGAGGCCGCTTTAGAACAACTCCGTGTAACCACCCATGATGTAAAAGAACAGAGACCTCGCTTTATGAAGCAGAAGCCCCCATGTGATCAATAATATGTCAGGCCAGTAAGGCGGGATACCCATGTTTGAACCGCGCATCATGGCAACAGGTCCTCTTTGGCAATTTTTAATTTTTTGCAAGAGATAAATTCTTCTTGAACCGGGATCTTGAACCGGATATGGAGACCTTCAAAGCTTTGTGGGAGACATCTTTCCCTTGAACCGGATTTTAAACCGGAATCTTCATTTTTAGCCGGAAATTTTCTGACGGCCTTTAAACTCGAACTTGTGAGAAGTTAAT